TGTAATTCCATGTAGTCAACCTTACTGTTAGCTTCTTCTCTAACCCTGTTTTATTATTTATCCATTTGTTTTTGTAGTCTATTTTTATTCTCAAGTTTCTAAAATTTTGCAAAAAAAAAAAAAGAGTAAAATATTCTCAGGTAAAAACGTTCTCAGAACGTTCAATCAGATTGCGTAAGAATCGGATTGAAGTTCATCGAATAAAGGCATCTGTTGGCTAGATTTGTAACAAATAAAGTATATGTAAAATAAGAGTGAATCCTCAATATCCACAGCACTTGAAATTATCTAGAGTAGGATTAGAGTAAGTTAATCTATGAGACCTCGAGCGTGGTCAAATACATCGATCGAAAGAGTTTGACCTCCTGAGTCCAAAACTGTAATTATAACTCAAATCGGTCAAGAGAAAACGGAGATATGAGCAAAGGTTTTTATTTGAAAAAATAAAAAAATAAAAGTCAGAGCCATTCTATGATCCACTATGTCGCGGCTAAAAAGCAAATGTGTTTTGCAATTTTCACATAACATAGCATGATTAGGCAAAACTAAATAACGAAATACAACTTCGAAGTTCTCATAACAGTGTAATGATAATATAATCAGAAACATTAAGTAAGATTGATATTTGTTTGTTTGTTTTTAGAGTGTTTGCGCAAAACTACACAAGGGCTATCAGCGACCCTCATACTGCGATCGAGCGCTCTAGCCACCTGACCATGTCAGGCCTAGAAGACAAAAAGAGAGAGCCCGGCATGGCCAGGTGGTTAGGGCGCTTGACTCGCAATCTGAGGGTCACTGGTTCGAATACACGTCCCACCAAACATGCTCGCCCTTTCAGCCGTGAGAGCCTTATAATGTGACGATCAATCCCACTATTCGTTGCAAAATTTGGGACGGTTAACGCAGATAGCCCTCGTGTAGCTTTGCGCGAAATTCAAACCAAAGAGAGAGAAACCTATATTTCTTCTTGACTAAGTCAGTGTGAGGCCATCCTGAAGGAAAAAAATAAGGAGGAGGTAAAGCTAAACTTAAAAAACAAACAAACAAGAAATGGCTCAAAATTAAAATAAAAGTAATGCAAATATCTCTGTTCCAAAATTTCAATCTATCTAAAACTATGTGTGAAGGATTTAATCTAGATCTAAATCTGCCTATATAGAAGAGAATATCCCTTTATTTACAAACAACACAAAACAAAGCCAACCTGTTCAAAACTCACACATTCATTACTCATGCGAACTAAAATCTATCTTGTTTCTGAATAAAGGCGGCTGCGCCCCCTTGGAGTGTTACCCAATTCACCGAAAAAAAAACATTTCACCGAAAAAAAAAGACAGCTGTATATTTTATGATATCAAGAGTAAAGTTAGAGGTATCTTTTTTTGCAAGAAAACGCCTTTAGTGACCAGTCCGAACGATCTTGATTCCGTGAACAACTAGAATGAGGAGAACTTGCGTTCTTTAGTTGGTTGACTTTCTTTGGTCAAACCCAATTTTAAGAAAACAGGAATTTTGAAAACAAACAAATACGTTAATTAATGGGGTATCAAGTAAATTTTACCGTTCTGTGTTATACTAGGCAACTTCTGGGCCTCAAAAGTGAAAAGGGCCATAAATCTATAAGTGTTATGAAATTGTGAATATATTAGAAATCTTCAAATGTCCAATCAATTATTTCTTTAAGTTTATGTAGAAATTTAATATTTTCTTTTGAAAAATCCATATAATAAATAAAACAATACAATAAAAATAAATCACTATTATCTAGCAGCCTATCGGAAGGCCTATAATGCTAAAAATCGGGTTACAATCCCACGGTGGGCAGATAGTCCATTGTGTAGCTTTGAGCTTAAAAACAAACAAAAAAAAAACGCCAAAAACATCAAGTGAATAAAACCATTTATGTACTATCTCATAAATTGCTGGGTTAATGAAAAATAAAAATCGAGCAATAGAAAAGTGTTAAAACAAGCAAATAAAGTACGAAAAATGAATTGGACTTTTTTATGACACAATAATGTTGTTGTTTTAACCACAATAACCACAAGCTTTCAAGAGCTTATCATCAACTTAACATCAAGTGATGAAAACAACCTTTTAAAGTTTGTGTATTTTCTAAAATACTATACATGTACAATAATGACCTACAAAAAAAAAAAAAAAGTTATGCATGCCTATTTGAACTGTCTTGTGCGTATTTGTATCATAAAGAAAAGGGGTCTTGCGCTTTCGATACTGGACTTGTCTTCCTTCTTTTATCCTCCTCAAAAACTATTAAGAATAGGTTTATATTTAACTTTGAACTGCTGGAAAGAAGATACTTCTGACTTGGTGTTTCTTTTATAACAATATCAATGTAATAATTGAGCCACAAGTTTTTGGAATGTTTGTAAATATCATAGCAAAAGTTAGAATTTCTTATTCTTCTTTCTTCTGCTTCTTTTTTTATTGCATGGTAACTCAAAAAACAAAAACAATGTTGTCAACCAATTTCACTGAGATGACATAGTTTCAAACGGAGTATCCGCTTTTATAATATTATCAACTAGTAGTAATTTAAAAAAATTCTAGTGTAAACGATGTTATCATTATCCCTTGAAATTAGCTGTCTTACAGAAATTTGGTGCTCATTTAGAAAGCTTAAATACAGGTTGAAACAAGAATTACCAGCCAATAATAGATAAACAATAAATATTACAGTTGGAACCTCATTGTATTTAGAACTAGGTTACAAATAAAACCTTCCGATGCCTTTTGAAACACTGTATTGAAAAAATAAACCAAAAAGAAAAAAACTTTTCAAAAAAGGAAGTAAATGTAGGGATGGCCAATATCAATCCTTCAACAACAATGCAAACAAAATAGAAAGGGTGGTATTTGCATTGTTACGTATCTGCTTGTTAGTTTGTTTCCTGTAGAAATTCTTTCCGATGACCTTCAGCGATACAAGTCCTTTCTTGATTAAACCAGTTTATTCTTCCTCGATAGAAACTTTTAGTACACAGTAGTTACACAATCAGTATGTTTCTCGTCACTTTAAACTTAACAACTTTTCTAATACACGCTATAAATCACAGCGATTCACAATCTCGATAACTTGACTCTCGACGAGTGCAAAACACACTACTACTCTCTCTTCATTCATCTATGCTGGCTTTCCCTGCCAGGCTTATATACTAACGAAGAGGGCATCTCGAACACACGCGGACTTCCCCGATCATTCCAGAAACTTATCACGCACGCCTACCAGCACGTGACTTTCGCTGTCGTAACACTGTCCCTTTCTTAGTATTGTTCGTCCAGAACAACAGCCACTTACATTAAAACAATAAACAATTAACAATAACTTAATTAAATGTACAGAATTTACAAACACAAAATTAAAATTCAACAAAATCCCTTAATTTTACAGGACGTTTCTTCTTTCGTACTGGTCTCCATCTCATTGGCTTCTGCTTCGCGTGGGATTCATCTGCTCCATCAGGAAATGTTCCATTATTGGTAGCAGTCACATTAGTGGTAGTAACTTCATTAACGGCTTCACTGTTTTCCCTCTCAAAACTGGGAAGAGTCTCTTCTCCAACAGTGGCTTTTTCAGGTGACACGTCTTCAGCAGCGTCATTTTTTCTGTTGTTCATTTCATTCCAACTGAAATGTCCTGGACCATGATAACCCCAAAGCCTGTTGGCATGCACCACTTTTGGCTTACCTCGCCGACCACATTTTATCCGGAAAGTCACGTCTGAGAGACAATCCACTATGTCATATGGGCCTTCCCATGGAGAAGACAACTTATGAGACTTCCCTTTGGTCTTCCTGGGATTATACAACCACACCTTGTCTCCTGGTACAAAGCTGACTTCATTAACATAGCTTCATGGAATCAGCAGAGGTTTTCAATTTTGAATGCACTTGATGATGAACATAATCCATCCTTTCAGATAACACTTTCACGAACTCTGGCACATTTTCAGACAACTTCTTC